TATGTGTCAATTTAATGACTAAAATTAGGACGAAAGGTAGCAATAAATGTTTATTAATACGAACCTATGTCTAAATATCTAAATTAACCTAGTCCGAAATCAGTGCGTCAAAAGTTATTTCCCAGCAATATTTTGACAGATCAAAGTCAACCTTAGCAAAAAAGAATTTGTATCGACCGATTTCGACTCAATTTTATCAGCTATAGCTAACTGGCGACTACTTCGGTTCTCAAACTTTCTTAATGGCGAACGGGACGATTTTATTCAAACCTTGAGAATGATGCTTAATGGGTTACACGTGCACGTCATATTTTTCAATATTCGAAAACTAAACTAAGTAAATCGGTAAAAAATGAAAAATGTGTAACCCCCCTCTCTCTATATATATATATATATGTTCATGTATTTTTATTGATCTTTTACATGTATTTATGAAGAAACAACAATATTTGGGAAAACTATTTAGTGAGAGGAGATCTTCAGTCTGTCTAATTTGTGGATATATTTTTGGACCCCCCCCCCTTCAGCCTTGATAAAAAGTCGCTGCCTCCCTTTGTGGCTTTGGAAAATATGCTGACCCCTCTTTGTTTTGCCCGACCCCCCTCAGGAATAATAAATGGTCATTCCCTAATGAAGTAGTAATTTAATATGTGTTAATATTTTTTTCGGCTATTGGTACAACAGCAACAAAGCTACAAACAGAAATGGGTATGCATTCTACCGGCTCAACATCAGATATAACAATGTCTGAAATTATGACAACCACATCAAAGTACATGACGTCACTGAAAGTTGATTCTACTGAAGCGATAGGTAAGTACAAAATCTTACAATACACAGATATTCATCGACGATAAAGACATTGTTTTATCAATCGAGGCTGTAGTTTTAGCCTAGAATATACGGTGGATATAATCACTAAATTCAGGATTGTTCAAACAAAAAAAAACATCATCAATATACCAGAAACAGATTTTATTTTTCTTTACGTTCATAATACACCCAGATTGCATGCTGCTCTGTGCATCAATTCATCTAGCAGAATAGACGTTTAGGGTATATCTTTTAGTTTTTTAGTTGTTTTTTTTTCAAATGAGAAATTTTCTTTATATTTCACGTCTATTTTGCTAAACCAAAATATATTTTTCCCATAAAAAAATATATGTTTTTTTTTTGCATCTCATAAGAAGTACACAGGCACTGTGTAATACTTCATTATTATTCAATGATTTTCAAAATATTATGAAAGCAAGCTCAAGAAAGTCAAACATAATATATTCTGACATATATGTAGATTAAAAATTACCAAACATTTGGCTAAAAGAAATGTGCTTTGGTTCTTATCAATGTGAATTTAAGAATAAGGAAACCTATATTTTATGCTAAAAACAGATTAATGTTTGTCATTTGTATTTGAATTTGAAACGTGCTATATTTTTACTTTCCTTCAAATTGGAATAAAACTATAATTCATGAGAATTAGCAAAAAATACTTGTTATGAAAGATGCCACCGTTACCTTGAAATCAAACATAGTCGTGATCCGCACATGCAAATGACCATGTGTACAATCAATCCATGTATTTATCTACTGAGTTGACCTAGCGCATAGTTTTGTGGAAACAAAATTATTTATTATGAATGGTGTTAAAAAAGAAATAGTTCGCATATTTAATTACCTTCTTTTTATCTTTCGATCACGTTTGAGGAAAAATGTGGGTGCATAATTGAAATATTTGACGAATATATCATACTAATTTCAATTTCAACAAATATGTACGTTTTATGTCATTGCTACCATTACGACCTTACCAACATATATATTGATTATCAACACACAAAATACTATAATAAAATCATGGCTGCTTCTGTAATCTTGGTGGTATCGATTTTCCATCCAGAATATTTGCAGATTTTCATTGAGTTTACGCTAAATTTAAGGACGGTTCACACTGCACTGTCTGCAGTGCCTGACATTGTTTGTAGTGTAAATGTGAACAAAAGTATACATGCTTCAGTTTATTTTTTTTTAAATCCTCATTCGTTAAATTAAACTGTCGCAATCTACGCTGTAAATCTAACGATTGGTATAAGGATCCTTTCACCTGGCTATAAATAAACAAGTTATCTCTCATTATCATTATCATTAGTGAATGTTCACTTTTATCTACATGCATTTGCAATCAACTCTTATTCTTTATTGACCAGAACCTATTTTTACGTTTTACGTAACTTTAAAATGCACATTGAACATATGCACATTGATTCGAGCTATTCCTCACTATACTGCATTGCACTACACTATATTACACTACACTATACATTACCATACAAGAACAAACGCTACACTGTTCTTTTTGTTCCCCAATGCAATCGAACACAACAATGGAATCTATTTTGACGAATTTCAAACATCATGACATATTGCGCATTGACTTTCCATTGACAGTACCATAATTGTCAGTATGTTTTACAAACATAAACATATAAAAGGTCGCCGTTAGCTTTTCAGTTTTTAAGCATTAAAATGAATAATACCACGAGTCTGTGTTTCATCTGAATTTCAGTTTGTTCATCAACTCAGTTCACCTGTAGCGATGGACGTTGTATTCCATTGGGTTTCCAATGTAATGGTGTCATTAACTGTGATGATAATGCCGATGAAATCGGCTGCCAAGGTAACAATAATTACTCACTTACGTTGTATATAGTACATATTGCGGTGCAAATATATAATTTAGTCGACTATATAGAACATATATCAAAACTAAAAGTGTTTATGCATAGTCGTGTGGGTATCTGATTCAGATGGGTAATATTCACGTGAATGTATTTGAGGGGTTAGAATGTAAAATACCAGGGGATGTTGTGTTCGGTAGTCATTGCCAAAGTCCAGCAAGATTTTGCTAATAAACATTATGCGTCAATGATGGCTGATAGAATTTTATTTTTGGCCTCTCAAATAATCTCCAAATTTATCTTGGCATCACGAAGAACATTGGGCAACTGATGTTTTGCACACACGTCCATATTCTTTCAGTATTAAATATGAACGCAGACATTTGCTTGCGTTAAATAAAATTATTATACTTCTGTCACCTTAACGCCATAAATTACAGCTTGTAATTTTGCAGTATACCACCGGTTAATGTCATCCCATTATATTAGGAAACGCGAATTCCAAATATAGAACGATTACGCGCGTAAGCAAACATGGCTGCCACCAGGTTTTGACCGGACCCCACACAAAGAAATTCGTTAAATCTGTTCTAAACGTTTTTGGATTACGGCATTCCCATGATGTATTCCTGGAAGGAAAAGATGTATAATAATATTAAAGGCTATTACGAAGGTACTGCAAAGTATGCACTCAAAGAGCACGCGCTAAATAAATAACATTTCGGCAAAAATATTGCTTTAATTTTACGCGGTCGAGTATAGATTCTCGACTCAACTTGTGATAAGTAACATTCCTAGTTCAGGCTTTCCGCCCAATCCTATATCACACATGATATCGACAAATACATTAGTGAAACTATTTACCATACTGAAATCATTCCGTGTACGTGTCTATAGACAGTAATGGGAATAAATGCACGTCTTACTATTGCAATTTTACAGAACATTACATAAACAAGTCATCATTCGTCTGGATATGTAATAATAAACAATGCATCGGTGATTACCATGTAAATGTGGTGACATATAATCCTTGTGAAATAGCCCAGAATGACATTAACTGTATCACTTAAACGCCAATCCTGAACCAGACGAAGATCGTTTTTAGGTTCTATGGCCCAACCAATCACCAGAGAGTTGTACTGTATATAAAGTGAAGTATTACATTGCTTTATATTTAGATTGTGGTGAAGACGAGTTCACATGTAATGATGGAAGCTGCATTCCTGCGTCATATGCGTGTGATAATATACTGGACTGTCAAGACTATTCGGATGAAATTAAGTGTGAGAGTAAGTAATGAATACACTTATATAATTTTCACCCGTCATGTCCATTTAGTGGATGTATTAAGAGCGGATTCACAACATGCTGACCTTTTTGGAACAGCGCGACGCGACGTTGCGTAATGGGGAGCACGTCTGCTTACAGTGGTTGGTGGCTTCGTCGGTATTTAATACGAATCAGTGCAACTGTATGAAATATTAGTGTGCCAGGATACAGTTACAAATGCTGGATATCGACGTTGTGACATAAACGAAGGTTTGTGTACATATCCCGGTGCGGCATCAACAAAAGCACTTCTTCGATTGTAAAATCATTGGAAGTTGACCAGTAGCTTTAACGGCCGTATAGAATCTGTATCACACATAATTGCTACTAAAATTGCGTGAACTCATACTCCGGTTAAACGTTTAGAGCTGTTCAATCGCAAGTTTAATTCGGGACCAACTTACCATCGGACCGTACCGGCGCAACTACAAAAATACAAAAAAGTCGGTGATTTTGGAGATCGAAAAGGGTAACACAGTTGTGACCATGTTGAAACTTGACCCCTATTGTACTCTAACGGATGGTGAAAGCATAGGCTAGAAACACTTCTGAATAAATGGGGTTTCGTGGACTCGGAGAGATGGATGATCTGTTACTAAACCGTTCGAGCAGACAGCTAAAAAGGTTGTGTTTTGGCTGGCTTGGTTTGTTTGTTTGCTTGTCTGTGAGCAGGATAACTACCAGGAGGAGGTAGCTTTAAGTCATCGATCTTGCGATCAGACTTCACGACAGATCTTAATGCCTCAATTTATTTATTTTCTGTAGCATGTGCCAATGACGAGTTTCGATGTCTGAGTCGAATTTGTATAGATGAGGCACTTATGTGTGATAGCAATCAGGACTGCCATGGTAGTTCCGCACGTACCGACGAGTCGCATTGCCACGGTAGGTGTTCTTCACACGTACATACTCACGTCTATATCGGTAGCACTTTTGCGATGTTGAACGGTTCGATTTAACGTTTTATTTTGTAATTAGCTTTAAAGCAGGGTAGTCGTCGCAGTGCCGAAAAATATATGAATTGTTCGTACTCACTTGAACAAAGGAGATGCAAA